TCGTTAGGGGGGGCCCGGCCCCTGCTCGCCCCCCCTTGTCTCCGCCACTGGTCGCCTTTGCGCCATATGGCGAGCACTGGCGGCAGGCAAAGAAGCTTCTCACGAACCACGTGTTGAGTGTTAAAAAAGTGCATTCTTCCTGCAGCGCCGCCACAGAGGAGGTAATTTTAATGATCTTGCAGTTTTCACGTTTTGTTGGTCGAAATATTTTAATCTCAGACCTAGTCTAAAGGGAAATGTGCTAATATCTACAACATATAGTATGGATATACATTTGATGATTAATCTAGTTTAGCATTGTAGATGTTGATATATTTTTATGGGAGTGCCTAGAACTCATTTAGATGAGATATTTGGTCTCATTCGCTTTGAAAACAAAAACAGATACAACCCATGTCAGCATACACGCATCTTATAGCATCATATCCAATGGCTATAAAAGGTGAATGACACCAAACTATATCTCATCTAGATGAGTTCTAGCAAAACTGTATTTTTATAGACTTTGATAAACTTAATTTTTTTTTACTTTCGACAAATCTAGAATTTTAAATAGTTTAAACGAAGAGAACATGTTGTATAGGGAATGACTTATAATGAATATGTCCAAATGCTTGGGAATGTGAGGTTCAAAATGATTTCACACAACTTTTAAGTAGACAATCTAGTTTTATTGCTAGCCGTCCATAGTGTACAACACTACACTATTATTTCTTCTAAATCAGTTGTTGACAACACGATTGTGTGGAGGGCCAGTAGAGAATTGGCACGAGGTGGCAGATATGTTTCTTTTACTTTTTTGGAAAAAGAAGTGATGGATAGGGGTTGAGCGGGTACTTAAGCCGGTAGCGCACGCATGGATGACTTGTATATGTGTTATTTCTTTCATTTTGTTGGTAACCATATCCAATTTCCCAAAAACCCAAAGTCAATTTCCTCTGTGAGGTTCCTCCATGGGAGGTGAGTTAGGGCTTAAGATCAGTTTGAAAGGCGTAGTTGATAGACAGCAGGTCATTATTCTTGTACCACCCCTTGTTCTTACGGAGGGGCGGAGGAGGCTTCCTTGTTACTGTAGAGGAAAATTCATCCCAAATTGTAGTTTACAATACCACAACTATTGTTCTTTTAATCAGTTGATGAAGCTACGCCATTGTGGAGGGCTGGTGGGTGAAGCTGCACGAACGGATGAATATGAGTTGACGGGGTTTGGGTTGACCTGGGGTTTTAACTAAGTGCACGCATAGGCCATAAAGAGGTGTTATTTCTTTATTTCAAACAATAATTGCCTTAGAGGTGCCATGAGACAATATCTTTTGTTTTATAACTAAGATATCTCTACTTTTAATCGACGAGTTGGTTGAATAGTCCCACCACTTTCGTCTGGTTTTTTTTCGTCCGGTTTATTTTCGTCTCACCTCCCACCACCACTCCCACGTTAATTTTTTCTTCTTCACACTTAAAACCGAATCGTCTCTGATACTTCTTTCATTTATTCATGCTTGTTTTGGCAGGTGTCGATTCAATTAAATCATGTAAATATTTGGTAATTAAGAATTCATAAATAATACCATATACAGGAGATCACTTTCCAAACAAATTACCTCCCTCTCGGATTTATTTCTCCCATTGATCTCCTTCCATCCTAATAAATATTAGCACGCATTACATTCCTAATTAAGAAAGAAAATAAAAAAAAAGAACCTCCACCCGCACGACCCCTCCCATGCCTCCAGTGCGCCGCCACCCGCCACCACGTTGCTGCGTGCCACCCCCACCTCCAGTGCGCCGCCTCCAGTGCCCCGCCACCCACCGCCACGCTGCTGCGTGCCGCTGGGCGCGCGGCGGCGATCTCCGGCCAGATCCGGCTGAGGAGGTGAGTAGGGGTCGGATCCTGTTCCGGGGACGGTGTGGAGACGATCTAGGAGGCACGGGAGGAGGTCCAGCGGCGGTGTTTTGAACTCCAAGTTCATGGCGGCGGCGTTCCTCGCCGGTTCCGAGCGAGCGAGCTCCGACAGATTCTACGTCTTGCGGCGATGATCGTGTTATCTCTGCAGCGGCAGCGGCGACACACAGCTAGCGCCGCGCTCCGTAGGTCAGCTTCTCTCATCCCTCACCCTGGGAGCAGTTGGTAGTCTCGCTTCCAGGTTTTTTTTCGTCCCACCACTTTCGTCCGGTTTTTTTTCGTAGGTTAACCGTCGTAAATTTTTTTCGTCGCCTCCCCCACTTCATCGGTTTATTTTCACTTCACCCTCTCACACAACGAAAAAAACTGAACGGATCAGAACTTTCCATACTAACGCAAATTATTTAGTAATGTCTTTATGTAAAAGAATCAATCACAATCAATCTGTAAAGATCAAATCTAAATTAATTAATCTTCATAACGTTTGTTTCCTTCCGAATCACGTCCATAACTTTTCTTCCTTGTTTGGGCAGAAACTGTTTGGTAGCAGAGATTAGGAAGCTTCCTATGAGTGTAGTAATAGGAAGTATTCTTTTTCTTGATGATTCGTTTCCATGCATGATGATAGTAAATTAGGCCAATATTCACCACTATTTATCAACTTCATCAATCGTATCCATTCCTACCAGTTTTAAGGGAATCTGCTCGCTATGTCTTTTTTAAGGGGATCCGCTCGCTAAGTCGTCGTCGCACGTTATTTTCACAAGCAATTCCCCTAAAAAAGGCGTGGGTATTGGTAGTTGAACGCCCGCTAGGTTTTCCGCCTGTCCCATCCTCGCGCTGTGCCGCCGCAACCCGCCGAATTTCCAGCCGCCCGAGCCCGTTAACTTCGCCAGGCATCGTGTCGACTGCCCCCGCCCCAAACCCCCATCCCCGAGCACTAGCTATCGCCGCGTTGCCGCCCCAAGCACCACGCCACCAGGAACGAATCAAGCGCCGTCCCGACACCGCCGTCGCCGGCCCAGCACCTCCAGCCTTGCATGGACAGCTTCAATGTGCAGTCTCCCTTGCTGCCTCACCTTGTGCCAGCGCATGCAGCGGCGGGGTTGGACGCGTGCGTGCTTGCTAGCTTGCTCTCCGTGCGTACGTACTTGCTCTGCGTGCGTCGCACCGGCCAATGCGCATGATGCGTGTGTGCCTGCTTTTCTGTATGTGTATGCCAGCGTGATGCGTGTGTGCGTTGCTATGTGTGTATGATATAGATGGCCCGAGTGTGTGCATGCTGTGCTCTGCTCTCTGCTGATCTATGTGTTGGTGCTCCTGCTATATGTTCATGCCATACAAATGAAATTTCTGTTAATCTTCTGACATGTTGAGTTGGTTCTCTCTGTCTTCTGAGGGGGTGAATACAAAGCAGTCTATTAAGCCAGGCACTATTGCTGAGCTAAATTGACAAAAAAATATTGGTAGCCATAGTTGTAGTTTAAGTAGTAGCGAGTTGTCTGATATGTATAAAGAGTCCGTTGCAACTGAGCCTGTTGCTAAATTGACAAAAAAGGTCGCCAGTGTCACTTGATATGTATGAGAATATTAAATGTATTATTAACATGATTAATATTGAACTCTTAAAGTTAATGTGGCCCCGTTGCAACGCACGGGCGTTCTTCTAGTTGCTAATTAAATTCGCAGAAGAGATGAAATAAAGTTTAATTTTGAGACCTATGGAGTTGAACAAAAGATCCTAGCATAATTGCGGGAACGTGATGGTCCTTATGTCAGCATCATTCAAGGGATAGCTGTAGTCATCATGATGATAATCTTACCGCATTTGAAGCCCCCATTAATGCTAGGTGACCTCAGCCGGGGCATTAGTGAGTGCATGGACTTAAAATCATTAGGAATTGATCGATTAATACAACCTACTCTCCCCAACCATAGTTTAGAAGAGTGAGTGAAACGGTCGCTCGATGGCTTCACTGGTTCATTTGTTCAAATGCTGGTTCTGCCAACTTGTATGAAAAGTCAACCTCAAATTATGTGGGTACATATAATATAGGTTGTACTTCATTAATATATCTTGAAACATACCCAGCCCAATATATCTTGCAGTTGGTCGAGTTTGGACACTTTTCCTAGTTTTCCCCTAATTTTCTGCGAAAAGTCTTTTCGTCAAAACAAAAATGAACTTGGAAGGAAACTGGTTCTGCTTTTTAATTTGCCCCCACCCCCCTCGCACACACACACACACCATCATCATCAAATATAACTAAGTGGAGTGGTTGAGCATCAAAGGGCGAACCAGCGAACCAAGTGTCAAAAAAGATTGTACATACAAGGGAATGTCGAACTATGGTGACAAGCCGGTAAAGAGGATATCAACTCCAAGCAGGTTACATTGTCATTTATTGGTAACATGGGGAAGAGGAGTGTGAGCTCACCAAAACTATCTTACCTTGGGGAGAGGGCGGGGGTAAAGAGGATTTCAACTCCAAGGTTGTCATTTATTTATAACATAGGGGAGGGGTGTGTTCTCACCAAAACTACCATAATCTAGGGGCAAAGCACAAGAGCCGATGAAGATGGTGAAGTCGTACACTACAAGGTGGTTCTAGCAATAGGCAATGTTGGATGACGAAATGACCAGCTTACTGACAACAAATGTGGATCTTTGAGAAATAGCGGGAAGAAAGGTCATGGCTTAACAAATCCATAAAGGAGACCCACATCCTACTCAACAACGGCGACAACCCAGAAAATAGGTGAGGGCCCACAAGACGGTCCTCTAAATAAACCCATGTATAGACAACATCCACTAATTAGGAGATTCTACATTTCTAAAAGCATTGGGAGTGAGGTATTATCATTAATCAGTATTTTACCATCATGTATGTCTGAATTTATTAAATGGTTTTCCATTGTTGAACCCCATTGGAAAATTTTCTATCAAAAACTTATCATTCTTATCATAACAAATTGTACTAAATTGTATCACAAATGAAATGAAAAAAATGCCTGCCATGTTCCCTCCCTTAATAATGCCATAAATTTTAGCTACTCTCATACTTTAATATGCATCTCATCATAGGTGACCTTGGTGATGACCAAGATTAAGGAGGTCGCCGCAATAGGTGGTGTAGTGGACATGAGTGAGCTTATTAAGTCATTCACATATGACATGGCATGTCGGATCGTGTTGGGAAAGTCCTTCCGGACAGAAGGACGGAGCAAGCTCCTTCGGGACCTCACTGACGATACCTCACGAATACTAGGAGGATTCAACTTGGAGGAGTACTTCCCAACATTGGCTAGGGCTGGAGTGCTTAAGAGGGTGGTTTGCGCAAAGGCCGAGAAAGTGAAGTGCAGATGGGCCTATTTGCTGGATAAGTTGATCGATGAACGTGGGAGCATGGACAAGTCAATGTTTGATAAAAAGGACGGTGATTTCATAGATATTCTGTTGTCTGCTCAGTATGAGTATGGTCTCACAAGAGAGCGAGTGAAAGCTCTCCTGACAGTAAGTACAAATGGTACCTTCCAAATTATATATGTTGATTTATGTATATCTTATACGATCCTAATTAATTAATATCCACAGGATGTATTTTTCAGTTCAGCAGACACTGTAGCTAATACTCTCGATTTCACCTTGGCCGAGTTGATGAGGAGGCCACGCCTATTGGAGAAGCTACAAAATGAGGTGAGGAGTATCGTACCCCGGCGACAAGAAACTATAACCGAAACCGACATGAACAAGATGACGTACTTAAGAGCTGTCTTCAACGAGTCACTTCGGATGTATCCTGTTGCGCCTCTCCTTGCTCCACACCTTGCTATGGCTAATTGCAACATCGATGGGTACATGATTCCTGCTGGGACACATGTGCTTGTCAATGTATGGGCCATTGGTAGGGATTCCAGCTCTTGGGAGGATGCAGAAGAGTTCATACCTGAAAGATTTATATATGAAGATAGCGATGTGGATGTAAATTTCAAGGGGAATAATTTCCAGTTCTTGCCATTTGGGTCAGGACAAAGGATGTGACCTGGAATAAACCTCGGGATCGCCAATTTTGAGCTTATGTTGGCAAACCTCGTGTTTTTTTTTCGAAAAGGAGGATGACCCCCGGCCTCTGCATCTGGGAGATGCATACGGCCACTTTATTAATTATTCTCGAGGACCTTACAAAGTATTACAAACAATATACCTGAATCCACCATCTTGGCAACAAATGCCGCTACTCTTATCCATATGATGAAGGGATGCTAGCTGGGCCACTACCCAAACCACTCACCTAAACCTAACATCAAAAGCCGGAAGCCCCAGCCGAGCCACATACCAGGTCTGGGGCACAATCCGGTCAGACACACTCTTGTGTCATCGCCGCCATCTTCCACAAGTCCGTCTTTAGATTATATTGAGTCTTCTACTTTGTGAAGGCCACTCCTGCCATCGACGTCACCATGACGCCAGACAGCTACCTCCTCCTGCGCGAGTCCATCTCCGCGCATCGGACGACGAGCCTCGACAGCGCCATGCCGCCGATCTCCGCCGCCATCAATGAGTGAGATGAAGAACCGCTCCACCACAGCAAGTACAAGGTGACGAAGGGCGAGGTCGCCATCGGAAACACGGCTGGAAGATAAGCATCGCACTCACGAGACAAGCCCGGAGCAGCGACGCGGTAGATCAGACAGGCCGCCACCAGGAACCAGATAAACTCGCCATGCACACCCAGCATCCCCATGCCCAAGTCGGCGCCTTCAAGAAGGTGACGATGCTGTGGCGCCGCCGCCGCTTAGCCACCAGGACTAGGGTTTTCACCCGGATGCAGGGGAAGGGGAGCAGCAGGGGAGGTTTAGCCTCGGCGCCGCCACCAAGGAGGGAATGGCGTCCGGGACGCCATCGACGCCGTGACCGCCACCGGCGGCCAAGGGTTTCCCCCGGCTAAGCACCCTGCCGCCACCTCCGAACCAGACACAACATCAGCAGGCGCGTGCACGCCGGAGATCCAGGCTGGCCGGAGGTCGTGCAACTCGAGCGGACCAGATCGCCTCCGATCTGACGAGGGGAGCCCGGGGCCTCCCCGCACCATGACCAGCGCCCACCGGGACCTCGCTGCCCGCGCAGCTGAGGAGATCCGGTCTACCACACCGACGAGCACTCCCCGCCGCCGGAGGAGCGCCGTCCGCCCCCGCGAGGCCGCCGCCTCAGATCAGCCGGCGTGGATCTGACCGGAACATGACGGCCCTCTTCTTGCAGCTCCGTGCCCGCGTGCAAAGCAGCACGTCGACCAAGAAGCCGAAGCCAGGCGCGTCAGATCGGACAGATCCGGGCACCAACACGATGGGCGATGCGCAGGCGACCAAGAGACCACTCGCCGTGTCCGAGAGCCCCCCAGCGCCAGCGTAGAAAAGGTCCCCGCCGCCACCGTCGACCGCGAGGCTTCGCCTTGCGGCGTCCTCCGGTGGCGACGGAGAGGACAGACGGGATGCCGCCGCCGGCGGCGCCTAGGGCTGGGGCGTCCGCCCGTGTCGCTCGCACGGGAGCGACGCGGGGGCGTTGTTTCCTTACCTAAGGGTCGGCAAACCTCGTGTACCATTTTGAATGGGAATTGCCACCAAAGGTTGAGAGGAAAGACATTGATATGACAGAGGTCTTTGGGCTAACCGTGCGCCCGAAGGAGAAGCTACTGTTAATTCCAAAATCATTCAAGTAGATGCAAGAATGAAAGATAAGTTGAATATTTTGTTTTACTGCTATATTATTGAAAATAAAGGAAGGGAAATTCCTTCTTGTTTTAAATCTGTTAAGAAAGTTTTTTGCGGTGGTTGATCTTGAGCCCAAAAACATTTCTAAGAAGGCCTAGAGGATATGGTTAACTATGAGAGATTGATCAGCAGCACCATGCAAGAGTAGTAGCTTTTCGTCAAGATACTGCAATACAAGAAATAGCATCCCCCCTATTCCCCATGCGGCTCTTGTGTGCATCATGCTAGGCTGCGGGAGGGTCATCCTCCTTTTTGGAAAAAAGAAAAAAAAATGTGGCTCTTGTGTGCCAAATGCTAGGCTGCGAGAGAGGCATGGTTTTTGCCGAGTCCTCTTTATCTACCGAGTATTTTTCAGCCACACTCAGTTCAGGATGGTCTCCGACGAGTGCCCGGTATGAAGATTCGGCAATCAGGTCAATTTCGGTGCTGATGCAGATTGTTACCCTTCTCGAGGACGACGACCACTGGGAGAATGTTAGTACTTGCCATGACCAAGTTGAGCTGCCATGCCATGGTACTTAGAGCGCGCTACCTCTAACTACTCACAATCTTGATTACTGCTGGAAAACATTGCTTTTGTACTCGAAAAATGCAGCTGCCATCTGCTGGTTGCCTGGTTGTAGTTTTGAGTAGTCGGACCAGCCAATTTATAGATAATGTACGTAGTGAGCCGAAATGGTTCTACTTCACTTGCCTTCCTTTCGAGCTCTTTGAAGATGGCCCCTCTCTTACCCCCTAAGATGTAACAGGGATATTTAATCTACACCGTCCATTCATCAAGGGTACATTTGACCACACAATATATTGTAATTATGGAAACTACTTGTCAAAAAGGGAATGTTTCAAGGAGTTTTCTCCTCTCTTTTTAATACAATAAAAATTCTGATTTGACTCCTGTATGTGTTGTATCTACCGTATGATGATGGAAATTCTTGCAATGTAAATATACCATATGTATCCACGCGACCCTAAAAAATGTATCTAAACGTTAGAATTCAACAATACGTGTGACATCAATCTGAGTGAGTCAGTAAAGAGACAATAAATCGTTTTCCATTGTACATTTTCTGCTCTAATGAAATAAGATATGCAAGAACACTAGCACACATCGTTGCTATGTTAAAGAAAAATACAAATGGTATTTGTCAGCTTTTTGACATACTTTGTCAACTACTTCCTCCATTCCTTTATATAAGGTGTATTAGCTTTTTTGATAAAAATCCACAATGTAAGGTGCATTTGTTCTAATTCCTCATAATTCTGATCTTGGCCCTCCAGAAAAAGAAAGTATCTCTCCCCTGATTGCATGTATCTCTCCTTATGAGGAAAAACTCTCCCGATTGTGTGTATCTCTTCCTTTCCTAGGAAAAATGATTTACCTGCCGCTAATCCACAAATTAGACAAGGGTAATTTTGTCCTAAATTGTTTATAAGTATGTGACTTGGTCACCGTGCTAAAAATAATACACCTTACATAAGGAATATAGGGAGTAGTTTTCATTTTGGTGTTTTCGAAACACAAATTATACGGATTTTCTATTGTTTGGCTTCCAACCGACAAAATAAAATATGTACTTCAACATATATGGCAGAACGTGACAAACATCTTATTTCGTTTGTCAGACATGATGATAAGGTACATGTAGTGAAAAACAAAAGTTATAGTTGCAAACGATTATTGACATTAATTAGCTATGTTTTTGTTTCCTTGTGTACTCTAGGTTTAAAAGAAAAGGAAAAAATTACAGTAATTATTTTCCTTGATTGTACCGCAACAATGTCCATACTAACCCTCACACCATCATTAATGGTCTATTACCTTCTAAGAGGTAATAGTTATATCAGCCACTCGATCATAGAAATTTAACCTTAAAATTTCTCCTTTTTGTGTGGTTGTACTCCTCTTCTCTTCAGCCACATTAATTTGCTTCCATCCGTGTGGACTCTCTAGAGACCCAATTGAGGGCGGTGCTAGGGGCTTAACAATTTTATTGCATCAACTTTATTCGGTAGTGATGCGGATTGTGACCCTTCTCGAGGATTTTTTTAGAAAAGGAGGAGGACCTCCAGCCTCTGCATTTGGGCGATGCATGCGGCCACTTTATTAATTATTCTCACAAGACCTTACAAAGTCATACAACAGTAAGACTAAAGCCACCGTCTAAGCAACAACTGTCGCTACACCTATCCAATTAATGAAAGGGCGCTGATAGTCTGGGCGTAATACCAAACAAACATCATAGCCAGACCTAACATCTAAGACCTGAGATCCCAACCAGGACGCCTGTCGGGTATGGGCACCCACCAGTCCAGCGTGCTCCTCAACCAGGACGTCTGCCGGGTATGAGGCCGCTGCAGCCACTTGTCACCAATCCATCTTCATAGCTGTACTGTTGCATCAACCTTGCCTGGTCTAGCTACCGCCGATGCCACCACGACGCCAGACAGCGTCGACCTCCTGCGCGTGTCCATCACCACACATCTGACGCCAAGCCTCCCCTGCTCCATGCCTCCAAGAGCCGCTGCCATGAATATGTAGAAAGGAACACCGCTCCATCGAAGAAGCCATCCGCTGGTCCCTCGAGCCCGAGTGCATCTCCAAGAATGCCGCCCCCAAGGGGGTAATGACACATGAATGCCGCCGTCATCCGATCAACTGATTTAGGGTTTTCCCCGGAGGTATTGGGTGGGTTTGGGATTTGTACCTCGATGATGCCTTCATGAAGGAAACGATGATAAGGGCATCATCATCATCGGCTCCAGCCAATGACCGAAGACCAAGTTTTCACTCGGATCCGTCCCAAGAAATCCACCCGACAACCTGTGCACTGTCTCAACCGCCTTCAAAGCCCCAGATCTAGCCGCCTAGATCTGGCGACCAACCGCAACAGCAGTGCCACCATAGGAGCCCTGGCACACCGGACACTGCCTGAATGCGCCACCACTGGAGCCTGGGAGGAGGACTCCCACCCTACCTCGCCAAACCGCAAGAGCCGCCGAGATGGATCCCGCACGCTCATCACCGTCTTTGATCAGAACCAATCCGTGGCAAAACCATGAGATCGCCGACGCAGATCCGCCTTGGATATGGACTGCACCACGCCATGCCGCCGCGGGAAGCCCGAGCTTCACCCGCCGCCGCCGTCCAGGGCCGCCGCCCCAGGATCCTGATCTGGCCAGCCGGGACCTCCACGACGCCCTCTTCACGTCGCCGCCGCCGTCTCGCCACCAGGCAACCGCGCCGCCGCCCAAGGCCTCCGCCCAAGGCACGTC